TATATATATATATATATATATATATATATATATATATATATATATATATATACGTATATGAGCAATATCATACGAGTAGACGTGAGATATGGCTGTATATCAGCACGGCTGTGAGTGTACGTAAACTTTTCAACTATTATTTTCTCTTGTGGACTATATGCAAATGTATTTTATGCAAAATATCTTATTCAGGTCAGTACTCAATAAAAAATATCATGCATTTTGTATGATCCCTCTTATTTTGGTAAAATAATTAAAATATTGCAGATACTGCAAAGTGTATGTAAAATTTTGACTACAAATGTTTATATATTAATATAATATATTATAAAATACAGAAGTCTTTTAAGAATTGAAATAAATCTGAAATAAATATTAGATGAAAACTTAAAAAAAGCTTTAATGAATATTAGAATTTACTGAAACTGAAATCAAACTTACAGCTAAATAGAAAAAAAATAATGAAAATGATAAAAGCACATAAAATTACTTAAACTAAAATTTACATGAAAATTGAAATCATGAAATATGATCATATGAAAAACTGAACTGAAATCTTTATGATGAATCACTTGTATTCCTTATTTGTAAGTCGCTTTGGATAAAAGTGTCTGCTAAATGAATAAATGGAAATATAGAAATAAAAGCCATTTCAGTTTTTCACAGTGGCTTGGTGCACCCTCAGTGCACTTTTATTAAAAACTATATCCTATAACTAAGATACTACAAGTAAGCTTTAACATCTTTGAATAAAATGTAATTTATTTTCTGAATTAGTTATTTTCATACTTATTAAATATTAAAATGGTTCTGTGCCAAACAAAAGTTACTTTCTTTTTTAACTAAAATAAAGAGCTTTAAGGAATAAGCACTCAACAGTGAATATTTAATCCTGAATACCCACAATCAGCTTCATGAATACTAACAGGCTTTTGGCTCTGAAGCTAAAAACAATGACTTTCAAGAGTCCTCGGTTCAAAAAGCAGTGAGCTTGCATCAGTTAGGGACCAGCACATAATGATTAAGTGTAGGCCTGCTGCCAGACCCTCTCACGCTGGAAGAGCCCAACATCTCTAGGGAGTCAAACAAAGGGTGGAAAAAAACGTTTGGATTAAATGGCATGTGTAATTTCCCCACTGCATCATCTCTGTCACACCAGAGTCCACTGCAGGATATAATCTATGCGTGGAAGCAGATGGGAATGTGCAGAGTACCGTGTGCTTTCTCATCCCATGTTTTCCAATGAGCCAATTTAGACTTTGGTGTTTTTGTTTCGCTCCACACTGCTGCTAAGCAACCAAGTAAAATCTGCACCTAAGTTCACTTTACCATAATTTAACCAATTTCCCTCAAGCTTATGAGTGTCTGCATTAAACATGGCTGTGTTGATTATCTTGCTGAATTCAATTTTAGTCAGCTCCCTGTTCTGATCATTTTTTGTGTCGTTTTTTTCTTTTTAGTAGTAGCCCTACTTATGAAGAAAAGCATCGTTATTATCATTCCTAACTGTTCTAGTCAAACCTTGAGGTAAAACCATCCTGCATGGATGCACGGAAATTAATGATACCTTAATTTGTAAAGAAATCCTTACATTTCTTTACAAAAAGTGGCTTTTCGGTTTTTCCCTTGGCAGAAGACAGGTGAACATCCATATCAACACCTTAGATATCACAAAGAAATCCCTAGCAAACACCTAGCAGCACCCTTGTGAGCACCTAGAACGCCATAGCAAATTTCTATAGGCTGTCACCATTCACATTTTCTTCAGAAAATCAAGGTCATGTCTTTGGTTCCTAACTCTTTCATTTTCCGTTCTTTCTGTCTCTTCACTGATAAGCCCATAACCAATAACAACCCCTGGATGCTGCTGTACTTCATCTCCTTCCTCCTGATCGTCAGTTTCTTCGTGCTGAACATGTTTGTTGGAGTGGTGGTGGAGAACTTCCACAAGTGCCGACAGCACCAGGAGGTGGAGGAGGCCAAGAGGAGGGAGGAGAAGAGACTGAGACGCATGGAGAAAAAGAGACGGAGTAAGAAAGAGAAAAGGAGATGAGAGGCAGGAATCATGTGCCGTGGAATCTGTTTCTAATGGGTCTGGCCAATAAAAGAGTAATAACAATGGATAAAGCCACCTCTTGTTCAATTTAATATTGTCTTTAGTTTGGGAAAACCCCTCTTATTAGACTGAATTAACTTAGATATGTATTTTACCTGCAATAATTCAGGATGACAGAATCAACTGGGCAAAATACATTTAAAACATAAAAAAAAAAATAATAATAATAATAATAATAAAATAAAAAATAATAATAATAATGATAATAATAATAAAATACATCACTGACCCTTCTGGCCATACCTGTTCCATAGAGAGGAGAATGAAATCCATAAAGTAAAGAAGGATGGAGCGCAGTGACTGTAAATGAAAAGAGATGATTTGATTTGTACATGATATGCTGAACAACCAGTTTATTTCTCCAGACATCTTATAATAACATTAGCCAGATGGAGAGACCTCACAGGTGTGTTCTGTGATGCATCTTTTCTCTGCAGAAAACAAATCTAGTTTATGGACCAGAGAGTAGCATTTCATCATATAAACTAGCTAATTTGTTTGATGGTAAATAATTATCTTGTCTCAATCTAATGTGCAGAGATAATTGTAAGTAATCCAGTAGTAGGTTGATTTTCATAAAAGTGTAAACACTGTGGCTCTGTAGCGCTAACAAAACATTTATCTTTTTTTTTGAGCGTCACAGCATGGCAACATTGACTGAACCAATGGAATGAGTTTGGGGGTGGGACTATGTGGTTGACCGGTGAATTGCAGTAGTGTTATTGAAACCTGTTTGAATTCCATTTGTTGAATTTACACACTTCAGCTTTATATATTTGTTGTCAAAAGGTGTTAATTCTAAACTGATCTATTTGTTTCTTTCAGAGGCCCAGAAGTTGCCCTACTATGCCAGTTACAGTCATGTGCGATTGATGATCCACACCCTGTGCACCAGTCACTACCTGGACATCTTCATCACCTTCATCATCTGTGTAAACGTTGTGACTATGTCACTGGAGCACTACAGCCAGCCTCGTGTAAGATCAAATGCAGACTTCATTCTCTAAAACAGGGTTTCTCAAACTTTTTTGAACCAAGGTTCCAACTGTCCACAATAAGTCAGTTTGACTTCTTGACTTACTATGGAAACTGACATTTTTATTTTATTATATTTATTGAGTAATTTAATCAGTCCCACACACAGACACACATATATATATATATATGTATATGCACTACCGTTCAAAAGTTTGCGTGAAAAAACATTATTATTTTGAATTTTCAAATTCTAATATATTGTATTTTTATCCTTAAAGCCGACATTGCTGATTTGGCTTTGTAACACTTTGCCTTGTTATTTTCAGTGAGACATTTTTGTTCACAATTCAGAAATTTCCCACAGTGCCTCTGGTGATTTGACACCCTAGGGGTCCATGAATTTGAGAAACTCTGCAAACACATACAGTCTCATAAAAGCATGCAACTTAACTTTATACAAAATACTGTATATTAAGCATTACCTGAACATTCACAGAATGCTTGATATTGTTATATTACTAATGTAAAATGACTGGTTTGGTTGACTTTATGAGCCCGAGGTGAAAGTCTTTTAATCATTCACACTGTTTCTCTGACTTCCTCTCTGTCTGTATGTTTCCTTCCCCCCCAGTCTCTGGAGATCACACTCAAGTGTATATGCACTACCGTTCAAAAGTTTGCGTGAAAAAACATTATTATTTTGAATTTTCAAATTCTAATATATTGTATTTTTATCCTTACAGCCGACATTGCTGATTTGGCTTTGTAACACTTTGCCTTGTTATTTTCAGTGAGACATTTTTGTTCACAATTCAGAAATTTCCCACAGTGCCTCTGGTGATTTGACACCCTAGGGGTCCATGAATTTGAGAAACTCTGCAAACACATACAGTCTCATAAAAGCATGCAACTTAACTTTATACAAAATACTGTATATTAAGCATTACCTGAACATTCACAGAATGCTTGATATTGTTATATTACTAATGTAAAATGACTGGTTTGGTTGACTTTATGAGCCCGAGGTGAAAGTCTTTTAATCATTCACACTGTTTCTCTGACTTCCTCTCTGTCTGTATGTTTCCTTCCCCCCCAGTCTCTGGAGATCACACTCAAGTACTGTAATTATTTCTTCACCAGCACCTTTGTGCTGGAGGCTGTCCTGAAGCTCATCGCGTTTGGCTTCCGACGTTTCTTCAAAGACAGGTATTGAGTTTCTCCTTCTCACCTTTCATCTCCTCAAGTTTCCTCTCCTCCGATCGCTAATTGATTTAATTAATTAATTAGATGTCGATTCCACCTGACCGAATCCTCTTAGTTTGTTCTCTAGAGTCACTGGAGGATGTGTTACAGGCAAAATGTTGCATCTGCTGTTGCTTTCATGGCGCAGATAAAAATTAAATTAGCCCTGCATTATGTAAATACAACAAAGCGCACCAGATACAGTAAAAAGCGAGAGTGAATGTGGTTATTTGTCTTAAGGGTTTAATGAAATCTCTCTCCTGTGTTTGATTCCCTAATATAACTCCTACTTATCATTAGGCTGACTACAAGAGCAGTTCCTCTGGCTTGTCATAAACTAATACTGACATGTATCAAGGTGCATAGAGCAAGCACAGGGTGTAAACGTCCCGGCATTTTGTAGCTTTATTAGAATATATGGTATTGACCCATTTAAAAGAGTAATAAAAAACAGGCTCAGACCACAGTGCACTTTGTCTTTTTTATTCACGCATATTCAGGTCTGACACCAGAAAGCTTTCAACAAGCCATTATTTATTGTCGTAGCTCTCTGTGCCTCTTAACTAGGTCACAATTACGAGCTGGATGGCAGAGGTGTGTGCGCAGACAGGTGTGCCACGGCTGGTTCCAGCACCGCAGATGTGGGCGACTGTGATTTGTGCTGTAGTGTAGAAACGAGCCATCCCTCGTCCTGCATTAGCGAATGAGGTCACCTATGCTGGAGTGGGTCCTTAATTCTCCCTAATTGGGTGTTATTAAGTGGTCCCCAGCAAAAATGCAGGTCCCAAGCCACCTGTTTGACCAGACCGAGCTTAATTCAAATGTTAATTTCTTTTAAGCCACCTCTCTGGAGGAGTAAATGACCAGATTGGAATGAAACTAGAGGGGAAGGTTGGATTCAGACTGCATGAAAGTTGAATTTTTGCTTAACAGAGCAAATCTGTCCCTTGTGTATGTGTGCAGGTGGAACCAGCTGGATTTGGCTATAGTGCTGCTGTCAGTCATGGGCATCATATTGGAGGAGATTGAGATCAGTGCATCTCTGCCCATCAACCCCACCATCATACGTATCATGAGGGTCCTACGCATTGCACGTGGTTAGTTATACAAGCGCAGTCACTGACCACTGGCTATCACCACTGATCATAGATGCTGCTAGATGTTTCAGCGCCCCTAAATACATAATTAAACTGTCAGACCCTTTAAAATATCTAATTATATGATCTTTCCTGAGACTTCAGTAAGCTACCTGAGGGTATTTTTTTACTCTGAAGTCCCTTACCGGGTTGTGATGGTCAACCAGTCATCCAACAACTGATTTTTCGATTAGCAAGGCCAACTAGCTTATCTAGATTATTCTTTTTATGTATTTTCATATACATAATGAAACATGAAAAAAAATTTAAAAATAAAGGTACATGTAAACAAATATATATACATTTTTACTTTTATTTAATAGCTTATTTTAGTCTGTTTTAATTTTATGTACTATATATATATATAGAATGTAGTCCTTTACTATAAACTGACATACTTCTAGCAATATACAGTATCTCACAGAAGTGAGTACACCCCTCACATTTTTGTAAATATTGTATTATTTCTTTTCATGTGACACTGAAGAAATGACACTTTACTACAATGTAAAGTAGTGAGTGTACAGCTTGTATAACAGTGTAAATTTGCTGTCCCCTCAAAATAACTCAACACACAGCCATTAATGTCTAAACCGCTGGCCACAAAAGTGAGTACACCCCTAAGTGAAAATGTCCAAATTGGGCCCAATTAGCCATTTTCTCTCCCCGGTGTCATGTGACTCATTAGTGTTACAAGGTCTCAGGTGTGAATGGGGAGCAGGTGTGTTAAATTTGGTGTTATCGCTCTCACTCTCTCATACTGGTCACTGGAAGTTCAACCAAAATATTGACACTTTGGGCCCAATTTGGACATTTTCACTTATGGGTGTACTCACTTTTGTGGCCAGCAGTTTAGACATTAATGGCTGTGTGTTGAGTTACTGTATTTTGAGGGGACAGCAACATTTACACTGTTATACAAGCTGTACACTCACTACTTTACATTGTAGCAAAGTGTCATTTCTTCAGTGTTGTCACATAAAAAGATATTATAAAATATTTACAAAAATGTGACGGGTGTACTCACTTCTGTGAGATACTGTATATAATACATGCAATATGACTGGTTTATTCAAATATTACTGGAGCAAGTTTAAACTCAGAACTTCTTGCTCTTGAAGCAAGAAATATTTGTCTAACCCACATCAGCTCATGTTCAGATGAATCCTAGAATTGCCCCTGCCACACATCCATTCTGGCATAATCTCCGCATGTGCTTATTGTCACACACCACAACCATTACTTTCCTGACTTTTATCTTTCTTTTATTTATTTTTAGTCCTTTATCACTTTTATTGAGTGGCAAGTAGCAAGGGAACAGGAAATGATGGAGAGTGAGAAAAGGAATGAGCCTGGGAAATGTTGCGAGCCAAATCTGAACTTTATCCCCCACATGAGACCCACAGCCAGATGTGTTTTAGCATGTCTGCCAATCCTTTTTTTATCTTTTATCTTAATAAATGACAAAAGTCTATTTATTTTGCCTGCAGTGTACTCCAGATCAGATCAAACCCATTTTTTCCTGCATTTCTCAGTGTGCTTTTTAATCTTTTAATCAACCAGACGGCCTGAAATACAAATGAGCACGCTTCATGTATGGAATATTGTTACGAAAACTTGTTTTAATACTCATGTCCAGCACCAAATTCTATTTGTCTCTCCAAATCTCTCATTTTCTCCTCCCCATTTGCCTCTAAGACCTGATCAGTGGCTCATGTGTTGATAAGCCCCAAATAGCCAATGAGATTTACGTTCGCCTCATTGCCCAATACGAGCCTTAGAGATATTGACTCCATCATACCAAAATGGTATTTTGCACAGTTCAGTGATGCTGTATTATTGAGGATTGATCTGTTTGTCTAGAGTTTAATCTGTTATTTAATCCTGCTGTTGTCCACAGCCATCACTGAGTCAGTGTGCCATCATTCTACATCTGTACGGGGAGAGGGCGGCAGTGTGAGGGTTTAATTTTAGCCCTGACCTTTTTCTTCTCTCCTCATTAGCCGTTTAGGCTGGAATTAAACCAAGGTGGGGGGGCTTGTCTGTTATTGGCCTCTTTGTTTTTCTTCTTCTGAAATGATCAACGCCTCGTAGACATGCATATACTGAGCTGTCTTGTTGAACTCTCTGTAACTCTCTCTCTCTTTCTCGCTCACTCTGACAGTGCTAAAGCTGTTAAAGATGGCCACGGGAATGAGAGCGCTGCTGGATACGGTAGTTCAAGCCCTGCCACAGGTGATAATACCACTACAAACCCCATGATGAAGCATTGCATTGTCACCCCACCCCCTTTTAGTCATACAAACCCGATTCCAAAAAAGTTGGGACACTGTACAAATTGTGAATAAAAACAGAATGCAATGATGTGGAAGTTTCAAATTTCAATATTTTATTTATTCAGAATACAACATAGATGACATATCAAATGTTTAAACTGAGAAAATTTATCGTTTTAAGGGAAAAATACGTTGATTTTAAATTTCATGGCATCAACACATCTCGAGAAGAGGAAGTCATCCAAGCAGTGTCGACAACAAGAACAGGTTGCTCATTGGCCCATGAAATTTGGTGATTCATAGAACCACAAACTCGTTCAGGGCAGATAATAACCCCAAAGCAAGAATAAAGTACCTGCTTTTGTATACACACACGTACATACACGCATGCACATATTCATCTTGTTCATTGCTTTTTCAACTGGGACACATTAATAATAAACTTTATTTTTATATCACACCTTTAAAGGTAGCTTTAAAGCACAATATAAAATCAAATAAAAAAGACATATAAAAAAGTTATATAGATTGAGTCAAATAAAAGCTCTCCTAAAGAAAAAGTTGGAACTCTAATGTAGCAAGATCCATAATTTTGATCACCCATTTAAGTTTGAGGAATAGTTAAAAGACGTGAAAAAGAAGGCGGTTCACACACACACACACACACACACACACTCACTCCATGAGGCAATCCAAAACTCTTTCATAGTCAGACACGCAGAGCATTGTTGCCGTCTAAGTGGTCACAGAGGGGTAACTGCTTCAGGAGAGAACTGCTGGCTAGACACCTCCAGGGTGGAGTAAAGCGTCACAACTCTGTGGATATCGATCCCTTGTTCATTACTGCTGGGCCCAATGTCTTATCCCCATGGCATCTGTGAGGTAATTAACGCCGCAGCTGATTAAAGAGCCACTCAGGCACTCAGTCCCACCACACACAGTTCTTATTTAGTACATCCTTCCAGAAACTCCTGTGCATTTCCTTTACAACTCTCTTAGAGATACTGCTCATTCCCCATAGGCTTCAGCTTTTATAGTTTAGCCTATGTCATTTAACATTCTTGTGGTCCTTGCATAGATTTAGTTTTGCTTAAAGATATTTTACAATCTGCACAGTTTTTAACATAAATAGACAGTGTTTTTACACAGAGATATGTTTAATTGATGTATCTAAAAAAAGGATCACCTGAATGAATTGTATTAGTTTTAAATGTTTTAAATAGGTTTTGTTAATTGTTTGATTTTTGTTATTCACTTTATTCTCGACATGAAGATAGTCTTGCCACATACATGGTGTTAAAAAAATTATAAATAAATAAATAGATACAATTTTGCAGTAGATTTACCTTAAGCCAGAGACATACACTACTGTTCAAAAGTCTGTGAGATTTATACATTTTCCCTTATGCTCACCAAGGCTGCATTTATTTGATTGAAAACACAGTAAAACAGTAACATTGGGTAATATTATTATAATTTAAAATAATGCTTTTCTAATTTAATATATTTTAAATTGTAATGTATTTCTGTGATGAGTTTTCACCAGCCATTACTCCAGTCTTCACTGTCACATGATCCTTCAGAAATCATTCTAATATGTTGATTTGGTGCTCAAGAAACATTTATGTCCAAATTGGGCCCAATTAGCCATTTTCTCTCCCCCGTGTCATGTGACTCATTAGTGTTACAAGGTCTCAGGTGTGAATGGGGAGCAGGGGTGTTAAATTTGGTGTTATCGCTCTCACTCTCTCATACTGGTCACTGGAAGTTCAACATGGCACCTCCTGGCAAAGAACTCTCTGAGGATCTGAAAAAAAGAATTGTTGCTCTACATAAAGATGGCGTAGGCTATA